GCACATTTACTCGGTCAGTGGAGCCAGGGGTGTGACCCAGTTGGGGGTTTCCTTCGGGTGCAGGTAAGGGCTGCGCCGCCGCAAGTCCCAGCACCTGACCCTCGACCTGGAGGCTGGGGAAGGCTACAGGGGGTGGGGCACGAACCACCTGGGCAGGCAAACCGCAGGGCAGGCATACGACCCCTCCTGAAGCTCCCTCTAGCTGGACAAAGTCAAGGCGCACACCGATCGACGTTGCTAAAGTCCGAGCCCGGCCGCCGGCGTGGCCAGCCAAGGCTGAAGTTCGCGAAGGCCCTGCACGCCTTCGGGAGCCCCGAACCCACCTCCCACCAATGCCTGAAATGAGCTCCCAGGATCAGGCAAAGGTACCGGCTGCAGAGGAGCCTCCGGCCCGGGCCCATAAACAGCCGAGGGAAACTGGGGAGTAGGGGGGTCCATGTGAGGGCGCAGCTACACAGCCAACGCATCCCGCCCCACCGCCCTCTGTCCCCACCCACTGCCCCTCCCCTCAGACCCGGGCAGCGGCGCGCGGCTCCACCTCCCCAGAGCGCAGTCCACACTGTCCTTTTTCAACAAAACAACACTACGCGCCGCCCCCCGCACCCGCACCGGGCGGGATCCCGGGCTACGCCCAGCCCGCCCCCGGCCGCGCCTCCTGCCCCGCGCCCCGCGTCCCCGGTCCCCGCCGCAGACAGTCACCAAGACCTGGCGGCACGCGGGTGGGGAGAGGGATGGAGCCCGGGCACGGCGGCCCAGCTCGGCCCTGCGCCTCCACCCTTCCCCGAGCTGCGCGAAGTGACAGGAGGGGCACGCACGGCGGCGCGCGGGGCGTCCCGCGTTAACCGCTTCCGCGCCGGGTCGGCAGCGAAGCGAGGGCGGGGAACCGGGGACCGCGGGGCTGGGACTCACCGGAATGTGCACTCGCAGCGAACGCCTCTTCTGGCTGGTATTTTTCTTGCCGCTGCTCCCGCCGGGGCTGGAAACATCTTTCTTTTTCTTGGTGTCCATGGCCGCGCTTCCCATAACTTTAACCAGAAGTTAATTCCGGGTGACTTGTTCCTGGAATTCGGTCCTCTCTTTCCCAGCCTGGCCCCCGCCGTCGTCCTCGACCCGCGCGCTCCGTGTTACTGTCCTTCCACCCTGAAGACACCGCGTGGGGGCTTCCGCGGGGAGGGAAGGTGGAGCAGGTACCTCAGGCCGCCGCCACACGCCAGCGGTGGCAGTCGGCGGGAGCGCTGAGTTAACGTGTCGTCTTCCTCCTACGGGCTCATCGGGTGCAAAATCAAAGCCAAAGGCTGTCCTGGTTCTGGTCTTTCGCCGAGTTACGCGTGGCAGAGGTCTCCTGCTGGGTGACAAAGTTTTCTTCCTTTTGCAAAGCGAAGCAACATTTTCCACCGTCTCGGCTCCTCCCACAGATTCCCAGAGGTAATCTGAAAGGCAGGTGCAATTAAAAGCGGTAATTTGGAAAACAACCCGCCTGTGCCTGTGCCTGGTTGTGAAATCTGGCGAGTGTGAGACGGTCTGTATATTAATATCCTCGGCCGCAGAATAAACCAGCCCTCAGCCTGGAACTAGGTCCGTCCTCCTTTCTGGGCGAGAGGGAGGGGGGAGGAGGGGAAGAGGAGGTGCAAACGCGAATCTCTTCGCAATTGGGCTAATGCTCCTCTGCGAGCAGGAGTTCTGGCGGCGGCCCTGCGGGTGGGAGGGCGCGCGGGAGCCCGGCGGGGAGAGGAGGGCAGGCGGCCGCTCCGT